TAGGAGCACGTGCACGAAGACTTCCCAGCTGTCTCGAGAAGGTCATGCCGACTCCAGTATGGGAGCGGCAACAGCGGCGCGTCGGCGGCTCATTTTGACGGCGGCAATGGTCGTTCGGTGGTCCATAAACCTCAATGTAATTTTTACTATGTTTGGTGTGATTTATACTTCCGATGAATCTTTATAATAGATGTGATCCTTTTCAAGAAAAAGAGGTGTGTCGTATTTTATGCTCTCGTTGGAATGCACAAATTTTTTGTCGGTGGCTATATGGACCAATAGGACGAGGCGCGGGGTATCCTGGCGTCGGTCGACTGAGACCGAATTTCGTGTTTTGACCCTTTTTAGAAAGTATTTCAGGATCTGGTCCCAGTTTGAAATTTTTTCGAGATTTGACCCTTTTGCCTACCGCCAGGGCATCTGGCGGTAGGGTTAGATAGCCTACCGCCAGGTCCCATGGCGGTAGGAAACTTATCCACGTCAGCATGCGGAGACGGCGTCGTCCCCCTCCGTCGCACCCTACCGTCATGGGCCCTGGCGGTAGGCTGTCTACCTTACCGCCAGGGGCCCTAGCGGTAGGGTGCGGGGAAGTTATTTCGCCCGAGACCGCGCCCCTTCCCTTCTCCCCACCCCTCCCCTCCCCAAGTCGGCAGTTTCTCCTTTCTTTCTCCCCCAAGTCGCCCCTCTCTCCCTCTCTCATCTCCTCCACTCCCCCCCTTGGATCTTCACCGATTCTTCACCGTTTTGGCGGATCGAGATGGCCCCGAGGAGAGAACCGTAAGCTCCTCCGATCCCTCCAATTAGTTTTTGCAAACTTGCTACCGATTCGACGCATTATTTGCTTGAAATCCCTCATGTTTTTGAACTTAGATTGATTTTTTTTCACCTAAGATTGATTGTAGTAGTTGTTCTTAGTTCTTTAGTAAGTAGTGGTATTGGATATGTACTCTAATCAATAGTTCATATGTTAGTGTGAAGATGAACCCTAGTTCATAATGTTTTTTGTTAAAAAAATTATGATGTATTGTTGATAAAGGGATGAACCCTAGTTTGATGATGCATGTTGATATGATGATATGCTCTAGTGTGAAGATGAACCCTAGTTTGATGATGCGTGTTGATATGATGATATGAAGATATTGTTTGGAAAATTTTGTTTAAAAATATGAAGCTATGATGTATGTTGGAGGTTTTTTTTATATGATGCATGTTGATATGATTTGATCCATCATGTGTAGTAGATGTTGTTGGAGGAATATGCTTAAAATTTGATCTTGATATGATTTGAGTTCATTGTTTGTTTATGTATGCTTATGCTTATGGTGCTTTTGTTTATGAAACTCTATTAAGGCGGCCACCTCTTGCGGACAACATCGGCCCACGGTACTGCATGCTGGACTGGGCATTCGACAAGGGTCATCGTGCCCGTTTCATAGAGAACTGAGAGGTAAGTGATATGAAAGAAATTTTGATCAAAGTTCTCGGATTGATGAAAATGATTTCCTAACTTTTTGGCGTTCACTTTTTAACAGATGCTCCAGCCACTGCGCATGAGGGGTCACGGGGTTCATGGGCATATGGACTACGACGAGCGCTACGCGCCGTTCTTCAAGAGAGCCCGTCTGTTGGATTTCGTGCTGCAGTTCAAGCGTCAGCCGCTGACGCTTGTCCACGCGGCTCTCACAACTCTGATTGACCGTTGGAGACCGGAGACCCATTCTTTCCATCTTCCATGCGGGGAGATGACGGTGACCCTAGAGGACTGGGGGATGATTGTTGCAATGCCGATCGAGGGTCATGCACTCACCGGTCAAGTGGAGAGGGCCAACTGGCAGGAGAGGGTCACCACCCTCATCGGCGACTGCCCCGGTGCCAAGAGTAACCGTACATCCGGTGTGCCGTTGCCCTGGCTCTCGGAGCACCGGAGGACATGCCCCCAAGGCGCAGATGAGGCGACTGTGGAGTTGTACGCGAGGGCCTATCTGTGGTATATTCTCTCGGAGGTCGTGTTTCCAGACAGCTCCGGGAACTCTGCCAACTGGGCGTATCTGTTCTTCCTAGCGGACTGGGATGCAGGGTACAGTTGGGGGATGGCATCTCTCGCCTACCTATACCGTTCGGTAAGAGAGTGTCTAATTGCGTACCTACCTACGAAAGTGTGTCCATGACATTTTCTTATATCTGATCCTCATTTGATGTTTTGCAGCTTGACGACACAACGCAGAGGACGGGAGACAGGTCCAATATGGGTGGCTTTGTCTGGGCCTTCTCCATTTGGATGTGGGAGCGGCTGCCGGTGGGGCGTCCGGAGAAGTTGCCAAGACGCCCATGGGAAGACTATGGCGAAGAAGGCGACGAGACTCGAAACCCCACCGTAGCTTACGAGTGGGACGTTGTCAAACTCTACACGGGCCTAAACAAGACTTCGTACAAGACCTACACCAACGAGTTGGACGCTTTGACGCATACGCAGGTATATGAACTCGCCCAACACCTTTCTCTTTGATTCCGCTATTGACCAAGAGTGCGAACTTACCAAGGTATATGTAATAGGTAATCTGGTGGCCGTATCGACAAGAACGAGAGTGGGACTTTGATCTGAACGTGATGTGCGATGCGGACCGTGGTCTCTGGCGGTGCATCGTGCCCATGATCTGTGTGTACGCCGTCGAGTGGCATTTGCCACAATGCGTGGCCACACAGTTTGGGATTTATCAGCATACCCCACCGGGCCAGCCCACCGATACCGGCGGCCACGCGCTCCACCTGTGAGCTCTTTGTTCTCTGTGAGATTATCATGTTTCTTGTTGCTTATGATGATCTCATTGCGCTTATGATGATTCTTGTTGCTTATGCCTTGCAGCATGAGCCGACAGAAGAATCAGTCAATCACAGACTGGGGAGAGGAGCATAAGACTCATGTGACGGAGTGGAACCGACGGAGGTGGCGTAAAGACGTGGAGAGGAGAGTGACTAACTGGGATGATTACCTGGGCCGACACATGAGGTGGTACGATGATGGCCAGAAGCACCGTCTTCGTCTCAGGCCTCGATGGACGGCGGAAGACATCGCGGAGCTGGAGTGGGCTGACCCCGATGAACAGGCATACCAGACCGGCATCAGAGACATGCACAGTGGATTTAGGGAGTTTGCACCCCTCATCAACAGAGTGGTACGTTTGAACCGACGGTCGTATTTAAAATATTTTATTCGTCAACGTGACTGACTTATGCCGTTGCAGTCCGGTGAGCTGAACAGATGCATCTTTGAAGCCTCAGATGCACTAGGTCATCTTCCCGGGAGCGTACAATCTGAGACCAGAGTCAGGGGGACGATGAAGGTACAATTTCAGTCTCCTCGGAACAGATGCATCTTGTTCACTTGCAGTCAGTCGATCTGAACTTATTATGACCTTGCTTCATTGTGAGTGCAGAAGTTCGTGCAGCGTTGTCGCAAGCTGGTAGGGCTTCTTGGGTGTGCTGGAGCTGGGTCAGTTGAAGCTCATCAGCCTGTAGCCACACAGGGTATCATCGGCTCATCGAGCCATGCTCCCTCGTCGTCTAGGTTGGTTGGAGAGGAGGAGGAGAAGGAGGAGGAGGAGGAGGAGGCCATATATGAAGAAGGGGAGGAGGAGGATGAGAGCAACGGGGAGGAGGAGTACGATGAAGATTATGGACCTCCAGCAACTCAAATGTCTCAAGCATCTCAGCTGCCGAAGAAGAGGAATCCGAAGAAGAAGGATTTGCTGAGTCCGGACCCTTTCCAGAGACCGGTTCCTCGACGGCCCAAGAAGAAGACCGAAGAGAATCGTTCAAAGAGTAACGAGGACCGTACCTCCAAGAGGGGAAGGAGCAACTGATTATGCTCTTCGATAGTTGGCTCTTTTAGTTTCCTTGAACTTCGTTTGATTGAACTATTCGGGTGGTTATGAAGCTACGTGGAACTATGTGTTTGCTATTTGTGGATCTATGTGTTTGCTATTTGTGAAACTATGTGGAACTCCGTTTACTAATTAGTTGAAGTTCGTTTGAAATGTTCTATGCACTTCAAATTTGTTAATGTGTATGTGATGCCCAAGTTTAATTGTTTGAGATCTGTGATATTGTTGTCATATTTGTGAAAATTGCTATAATATTATTGTCATATTGAATTTGAAAAGAAGCAAGCAAATGAACTTAAATTCATAAAACATAGAACCCTACCGCCAAGGCCCCTGGCGGTAGGGTCAGACAGCCTACCGCCAGGGCAACTCAATTCTTCGTTACAGAATCGTTACACTGAAAAAACAAGACCCTACCGCCAAGGCCCCTGGCGGTAGGGTCAGATAGCCTACCGCCAGGGCAACTCAATTCTTCGTTACAGAATCGTTACACTGAAAAAACAAGACCCTACCGCCAAGGCCCCTGGCGGTAGGGTCAGACAGCCTACCGCCAGGGCAACTCAATTCTTCGTTACAGAATTGTTACACTGAGACAGGACCCTACCGCCAGGTGCTCTGGCGGTAGGTTTGGACAGCCTACCGCCAGGCCTCCTGGCGGTAGGTACTTATCCACGTCAGCGCAGTCAAACGGCCGCCGTCCCCCTTCGTCGCACCCCTACCGCCATGGGCCGTGGCGGTAGGCTATCTAACCCTACCGCCGTAGGCCCTGGGGTAGCAAAAGGGTCAAATCTCAAAAAAATTTCAAACAGGGGTCAGATCCTAAAATCCTTTTCAAAAAGGGTCAAAACACGAAATTCGGCCGTCGACGGACCCGGTTGTTTATGGATAGCTGCCTTCTAACCGAAAATAGTCGGCGGGGGTATCTTGGCCAATCCGCACCAACCGGCACACACGGAGAGAGCAGAGCAGAGTGCGCGCAGAAGAAACTCGAGAAAGCATTTAAGAAAGCGAGACCTCGCAGCAGAGCAGATCGAACGGAAGTTGTCACCCAGCTCCACCAACTTCTTCCAGGCCAGCCAGCTCAGCTCTCCCACACACACTCGCTGTCAGATCCCGAGAATGGCGGTCGCCGCTCAGCCGCTGCTGGCCTCCGCGCTCCTCGCGCTCCTCCTCGCCGCCGCCTCCGCTGCCGATACTAAGAGTACGTCTCTTACCGTCTCAGTCTCACCCCTTGCACGATCGGCTCTCTGTTGCTGTCGCCTGCTGCATTTCCTTAATTTCTGCTTTTCCTACTGAGCGTGCACTCCGGTTGCCGACCAGGTGTTTGAATCTGAGCTCTAGCTTCAGCTGCCCTTCGGCGCACGCAGACGACGCCGGCCTTGAGGTCTTCGTTCGGGTCGTCGAGCTCGTCGAACGCCATATCAGGGTCGGCGTGGATCTCGAGCCTGGGCATCTATTTCTGTTTGTTAGATATATAAAATGACATGTTGGTGACGGTCTACTAATTGTTCTTGAAATCCAACTAGAAGCCTTTGGAATTCTGAGTGTGGAAATCCAATGACACAACTGTTAATCGTTGTTATGTAACTCATCTACACATCACTTATAATACACTAACAAAAATGCAGAAATGTTGCTTAATTAGCGTCCTGGCAAAAAAAACATGGTTTCATTATGTTTTCCCTAGAAAATAAATTATTCTTTAGTGTGCTCAGCACATCTATTAATCATTTTTACAAACTGTAGAACACCCAGTTTTTTCTGCTGCTGTTTTTAGACTCCAGATCTGGCCATGTACTTTTTTTAAGAGTAGACGTAGTTCCCGTTATGTTTTGTCTTGTTTGTGAACATGCAAAAGCTTTGCATGTTGATGTATCAGAATAAGAAATGTGCAACCAAACAGCTAGGTCTCCGGCAACCAACAACATCCCAACCATCACAAATGACGATGTCCGTGGAACCTGTTGGCTATCCCCAAATCAGCCATATCTTTGATCCTGTCATTGTAGCTCTGTACTTCTCAGCTTATCTTTTAATCTACGTGTATTCTGCTCCCTCCTGATGATGCAAACAGAGTATGTGCCTTCCCTTTGGGCATTTGGCTTTGGGTGCACCGCCCTGATTTTGAAATGATCAAGTAACACTGCGAAGGCCGCTGATTGTTAATGGTTCTTCATAGTGCTTGTATTCCTAGCGCGTACCTATTTTGTGTGCGCATATTGTGAACCAGCTCTGATTTTTAGTTGCTTATTTATCATTTTTGTCCTGCAGAAGGTAGTTGCTTTACTATAGAGAACTAATAATCCAATCCAAGTAAAAATCTCTGAAATTAGCTTAAGGCCCAAGCTAAAAGATACTATATTCCTAACTTAGATGAGAAAGTTTCAAATCGAGAGGTCACAGCCAACCTTTCCCAAACTTGGTGCTGGGTTGGTCATGTATTGTGCATAGATAACACGCACCAGTCACCACCTCTTGCACAACTGAATGCTGGAATTTGTAGTATTACTAACATGTCATCCTTGAATTATCTCGTTTACAGATAACCCTGCCGATGAGCTTGTGAGCTTGATCAACTCCAACCGTACCGCCAGCAAGGCATCAAATCTTGCTGATAATCAAGGTCTTGGATGCATTGCTCTGCAGTACATAAAAGCATATAAGGGTCAGTGCGACCAGGTGGGTGGAAACAAGAAGCCCGTGGATTCCAGTTTCATCGACACATTTGCCCCAAATTGTGGTGTCCAAGCTGCAAGCCTTGCCAAGATCACTGGGAGGCTCCTGGCGTGCCAGCCAAGCTACCCACCTCCAGCGCAGGCCTTCGACATGCTCATTGCTGATGAGAGGAGCCTCCAAGTACTGCATAGCAAGAACCACACAGAGGTGGGGGCGGCTGTCACCGGCACTTCTGGCGGCGGTCCGTATTTCTGGTGTGTCTTGTTCAGCAACGGGAAGCCCAACTCGAGCTTCACGGTAGAAGGGGGTGTTCCCAAGACTGCCCATCCTGGATGCTTCAGCGGCAACAATGACGAGTGCAGTGGTGCCATTTCGACCGGTGTGGGTGCATGGACACTGGTGTCGGCCACTCTTTTTGCTCTGGCTGGCGCCTTTACTTTGTGAGCTTGTGCAGAGATGCATCGGTGCACCATTCTTTTGCAGATTTTCAGATCTGGTAGAGCACACTAGTTGCAGTGCCTCTACTTCATCGCAATTCTTTTGCTCCTTTTAGCAGGTGATTTCTGTAAGGACTAAAAGGATAATGGTTTTCAACATTTGTGACAACGAGTTTACCTGTGCAGGTTGTTAATGCATTTTGTGTGACCGTTGGAGTTTCGCAGTGTTTTTTTCCAGGAAGGCCATCATGCCTAGCTTAGCTTTATTGATAACTTAAACAGAACTTACATCGTCCACAAAATTAGCAAATAAGCAGCTAGGCGATCATTGTCCGAGGTATAATGTCGGAGCTAAATCCGGCAATCTCTCGGTAGTGTATCCCTACGCTGCATGGTAACATGAGGCATAGGCACGGTCGAGCTGATACCCTACTCCTGCTCATGTATATTGCGATTGGGGTGGGTGGGGTTGTACAAAGTACATGTGAATACCAAGGGATTGTATGTATGCTATGGACAAGCCCGGCCTCCGGCTTATATGACATGAGAGAATTCCTTATTTGACCCTTTTTTAAAATATGGTTCCCTATTTGGCCCTATAAAACGAAATCTTCCTTATTTGGATGTTGGCTTAAATTTTGTTTCCTATTTGACACTTTCGTACATTTTTCCATCCAGTAGTGTTAACTGGCACGTGCAAAGACAGTTTTGCCCTTGGTAGTAGTTTGTCAACAAAAATGGAAAGAGAGGTAGCGCCGCTCCTGTGTTGCTGGAGGCAGCCATGGGCTCGTGTACGCTGCTGCCATGAGCTCGTGTACACCAGCGGTGCTGGGTTCTGCGTCACGCGCTGCCGGAGCGCTCGCGCTCCGCGATGTGTAAAGGCTTTGGAGTTTTAGCAATTAGTATAGGGACGTAATACTGGACAGAGAACAATTAGAATCCTACATGGATACGTAATGTATACAAAATCGAATAAAGCTAGGAGATCCCCGTTCGGGTTGCACACATGTTTACGTGCATGTCTCATGCACATTGTGCTTTTTTTCTGACCTGAGAAAGAGAAATAAAAACGTCACTTCGAACAGTTCGACTACATCGACCAGTACAGCCACCAGATCTTCGACATGCTCGTGCTCGTCGGCGCGCTCAGGCAATACACCGCCACGGCCAGAGCCGCCCACGCGTTGCACGATGTGACGATGATTTAATCGTGTACACGTGGGTAGTAACTATTCTTTTTCCTACAGCGAGTACTATTTTTTATGTATATAGTACTATTTTTTAATTATTGAACTACACCAAAATATATCACTTTTTTTGGGCGAACAAAAAATATCACATTACCTCTGCGTTTGCATGTAAATAATCAGGTCACATTCTACAGAAGGGGCAAAATGGTCTTTCTAGGTCATACTTAACACCGCTACTTGTCAAAACTAACGGAAGTGGCACATAGGGAACAAAATAAAGTTAGAGTGTCAAAAAAAGAAAAAAGATGTTTTATGGGCCAAAAAAGGAAGCAAAATTTAAGAAAGGGTCAAATAAGGAATTCTCTCATATAACATACCCGGGGTCCTAGGTTACATACTGTAGTCGGCTACACTGGTGAGTCCTTCACAACTTTATATCTTTGGCTTGTATATAAGTCTTTCAGAGTCTTCGTATAATGCATCATGGGCCGTCCAACGTGGCCCAGGATGAAACCTTCCTACGTATCCTCAACCCGGCCCACCAGGCCGGGAACCGATGTGGTCAGATCCTTGGGCCAGGACACCGTCAATAGCACTGATTTTCAAGCTTGGTTGCACCTTGGTCTCATCCGAGCTGCACGTCGTCTTTAGTTAACGAGGTTGAAACTAGCTCGATGAAGCTTCCCAAATAGTGCCTTCGTGCAACCAGCCTCTAGCTGTTGGGCTGCATAGAATATAAACATTAATTATAAACTTGGAAATAAATAATAACAAAATTATTATTGCTTTTAGGGTATATTTCCAACACGCAGCCATCATGAGCGCTCACCACCGCCGTCGAAATGTCACGGCGTGCAGCAACGACTGTGGGGCACTATGGCTTGGCACATTCGTCAGCATAGAGCAGGAGGTGCACACGAACGACGCGACAACAGTCTGCTACTTTGGCAGTCGAGCGAAGCTTAACTTTCCCCTCAGCGATCGCGCCCAAGACTACATTGAGCCTCCAGTTAGAATGTTCTCTCGCCGACGAGAAAGAGAACCGCATGGCCGTGAACTAGCTCGAGGCCAAGCGCATCGATAAGACCTATATGGCGGATCTCATCACAAAGAATATGCATCTTGTCGCTGAGAACCAAGCGCGGTCTGAGTTCAAGAAGAATGACGTGATTTGGGACAAGATATTGGCTGGGCCCTCCGACGAGGATGAGGAGACGTTGTTGTCTCGGCCTAGCAACAATGACAATGAGACCGGTCCCTCCGATGGTGGTGGTGGATGATCCCTATCTCCTCAGACTCGGACGACTTCAACGTGTTCTGCGCCAACTATGGTGATGGCAAGTATAGCTTACATTTGTTTGATATGCTATATCTAACGATAACCCGTCTAATTATGTTATGTATGATGTGCAACCTTTTTGTTAAATAATGTAATCAAGTAGTTTAGATTTGTCTTTGAAATGAATGTTTATGAAAAAATCAGAGAGTTAAGTTTTAGGATAACTCCTTAAATTTGAGGAGTTAAGGTTTGAGGAGGCTTTGGACGGGCTAATTTTTAGAGATTGAGATGCCCTCCCCGTCTCAACTGGCCCGGTCCATGACCTAACCTTTTAAACCCCAGGTTGACGCAAAGAGAGGAAGGAAAATCAATCACTAACCCCTCACGCACGCAAGCCTTTTCACCCATTCTCCGGCGGCGGCAGCTATGGCGGCGGTGGCGGCAAGGTTCGGGCTCCGACGCATGTTCTCCATCGCCGACTTCGCGACGCCGAACGCGCGCATGTTCTCCATCTCGGCCTTCGCGCCGCCGAGCCCGCCCACGCCTCCCCCGAAGGCCGACCCCTCCCCCAACCTCTTCGTCTCCGGTACGATTGTTGCCCCCCTCTTTCCTTGTTCCATTCGCTCCTGTAACCACACTCAGGCCTCGATCCCCGCCAGAGATTTTGCTCGAAAGCTCGCTTTTGAGTGCGAGAAAATGGTATCCAGTCGATTAGGGTCAGATATCATGCCATGATGTGATGTTGCTAATTAGGTCTCTGCTTAGCCTTATAGATCCGTTCTTGCTAGATGTGCAGCAACGAATTAGGAGATATGATGCTGATTCCTTTCTTGTTCAATGTAAATTTATTGCAATTACATGTGGAGGGCACTTTAACTGTAGGCGGTTCAAATCCTTGATGTGGATTATACATTTTACGACATTATTAATCTGGTTCTATTAGTTCCCCGATATTTTTTTTTCTGCGGGGAATGTCTGGTTTTATTTAAGCATCAACGCTACAATCATTACACACAAAGAAAACAAAGAGTTCATAACACTAGCCAGACAACAGATTGCCAGGACACACCACCAGAGTTCATGACACTAGTCAGACGATGAGCAGCAGTATTCGCATCCTGCCAAACTGACAGTCTGCCACCACCTATCTCCACCAACAGAGAGCTAGCTGTGGAAAAATCCTTCTCTACAGCCCTAATCTTGGCCACTGCATTCATGCTATCCAGCTCTAGCAGAAGTTTATGGGCTTCCAGCTTCTCAGCAAGGACGAGACCATCTTCTTCGATATGAATAGTGCACCATGTGAATTGGTTTTGAGCCAGTCTGGGGAGGAGTGTTCCAGCGCTTGGGTTCTTGCCTGCTCCTTGCCACCTGGATATGCTACAGATCGAGCTCCATTCCTCTACCGATTTGTGAATTTCGGCAGCGGCGCACTGTGACTGATGAACACAAGGACTCACCATGTCTTATAGCATTACACATACGCACCAGCTCCTAACATGTTGTTAGGAGGAGCCTTGCCTTGACTTCTTTCGAGCTACCAAGAGAAGTTAGGAACCTCCGCCGCAATAATTGGATGGCGCTCACCCTCAATCTGGCATCCGCAAGAAGAAATCTAGCAAGTGCAAAGGCAAGAAGGGTGGCGATAAAGGGGAGGCACAGGTGGTTCCATGATACACCTTTCTTCTAGACTGCAAACGTGGGCTCAGATGTATCAGTTGTTTTTATCTTTGTTTTCTTCTCCAGTTGAAGTGGGCCGATGGGGTTTCATTAATGACATTGTGACCCCACTGTTGAAGGGTTGCTGTGGCTCTGTGCCGGGTGTGTTTGTAGGTCTGCCTCTCGTCCTGTGGATGCATAGTCCGGGAGTAGTTCACATGGGTGGACAAGTTGTGATGGTTTTCGCCGGTTTTCCATAAATTAACTTCTACTTAATTAATGGATGAGGCAAAACTTTTGCCTCCGTTTTGCAGTTTTTTCTGGGAGAAACACATATGCTTCCAACTGACCCAATGAGCCTTCCTTCCACCAGCTGAGCCCCACCAGAAATTTACCGCGATTGACTGGAGCATCAAACATAGGCCTTTATTATAATGGAAACAGTTCATTGTGTGACCTGGTACCGCCTGCAACAGACTTGATGAGGATTTCTTTTCCAGCCCTGCACTTTCCCCCAAGTATGGTCTAGGATATGCTTAAAACAGTTTTTTTAGCATCCGACCACCGTATGTAGTAACAAGTATCTCTCGTTCATGGCTTAAACACCACCCTGGTACCGCCTGCAACACAGACTTGATGAGGATTTCTTTTCCAGCCCTTGAGAGACATTGACCTTTCCAGCCCTGCACTTTCCCCCCAAATATGGTCTAAGATATGCTTAAAACAGTCATTTTTGGAGCATCCGACCACCGTAAGTAGTCACAAGTATCTCTCGTTCAGGGCTTCAACACTGCCAACCCCCCACGTCCAAAACTCATTCCTTGCAACCTGCGTTCCTCTTGCTCGTTACAAAGGAGAGCAGAAAATCCTTTGGCACAC